GAAGAGTATGGGCTCCCCTATAATGGCAGGGAAAGGCAGAATAATATTTTAAAAATTATCATAAGAACTGGGAAAGGCAACTCAATAATACAATTATGTAATACAAAAATTAATGTGGTCTCTTTTTTTAATTGCTCCTGTTGCTTTTTTTCCCTCCTTTCTGCTTGAAAATTCATTCCCTTTGCTGGATTGACAATAATAAGTACAAATTACGCCTTTATTGTCGTTACAGTTTGATGATGTATTACAGCCAGGATGCAGGTTAGAAACACAGGCTGAATTATTATGTACTGCAGGGTAGTGATTTCCTGCAAACTGATTTATGGGTAAATAATTTGATGTACTTATTACACGGGACAGGGCAGCTTTAAATTTCTGTAATAAAGCGCAGCTGAACAAAAGAAAATCACTTGCTACAGTATAGGGGCAAGACAAATCTAAAGAGAAACAGGTCTAATCAGTGTCAAACCCCTTGTCTTGCAGGGAACCCTGTCAGCAGTGGTTGTTAGGTAAACAACTTAGTTATCCAGGGGCAGGGATGTTGTTGGGTGTTTCATTGAGGTCTTTTGTTTGGAGCTGTAAATTAATCAGAAGTGCTTGGATACTAATTCCAAGCTGTAGTTTCTTCCGAGCTCCAGTTTGTTTTATAAGAGCTCTGTTGAAAACTAGGAAGTTTCAACTAAGACTATTTAACTGAACCTGTGGGATGGCAGCAGATGATGGTTGTGTTCTTCACCCAGCCTTGTGTTTGCAGTCAAATGCTTTCAGGTTGTGATCCTGTAACACAGTAAATTGAACTTTGGAATAGCCATAGCAACATGGGACATGGCCCTGGTCTGGTATAACACTGCCGAGTCAAATTTTCTCAAAACATTTTGAAGTGGTAAATATAGCCCAGGAGACCATATAGTGGCTTGGGCACTGCCTGCTTCCTCAGCCATTTGGAAGAGTGCTGGTTTAGGGTCAGTGAACATGGAGCTGGAGTGTCAGAGAAGAGCTTTGCAGTACACAGTTTGCAACCTGAGTGTGCCTATTGATCTCCAAGGAGATGGACAGGCACATCCCATGTGAGTCTCAGCAGGTTACATTTGCTCTTTTTTTTTGGTGTTATGCATCAGGGATTCAAATGGTTTGTCAGTTTATCTTTGACAAGTGCTTTTCTTAATCATGCTTGGTAAAGAATTGCTGTTCTCTGCAATCCCCCTTTTCTGCATTAGCCAAACATAAAATTTCTTCTTTTTCACTCTCTGTGCATACTTGGGCAAGCATCATTTATGATTCATTTTGTATCTGTCTCCAGAAAACGAGGCAGTGGTGGTGATGCTGATGTAAGATGTCCAGTTGTTGTGGATGAATTAGACAAGTGAGCTCACAGAAGTGTGCCACTAGTCTGTTATGGCACGGCTGCAGGAGAGGGAGTTGCACAAATTTAACATCAGACTCCTCTGTCTTATTTTCATGTCTGCATTTTGATAAAACAAATGAGTGTGTCTTCAATGCCAGGTGAACACATTGCTGAGATCTAAGCTTAATGAAAGATCTCTCTTTGGCAGGACATGCCATTAAAGAACTAGTAGCCAACATGAGTAGAAAATCTCTTGTAAAACACGGTCTGACAAAAATTTCATTTGAGAAAGCTGTTTGGTTTGTTTTTCATCTTCAGTTGGCTAGCTGACCTGGGCAACAGTCAAGCACTTCTTAGTGAGTTTTTGAGAGCTGTTTTCATGTATAACCATTTCTTTACCATATAATCTCGGAAATCTGTTGAACTTTACTTCCAAAGAACTTGTTACAATATAAGAATCTCAAGGGATCATTGATACAAGAAAGAGAGTGAGACTCATTAGGAAAAGAGTTTTGTGGATTCATGAAGAATGTGCTTTCAGATTTCCTAAGCAAGCTGATCTGCTTCTGGAGCAGTAGGCTATTCACTGAAACAGACAGCGGCCTTGGCTCACTCGTGTCCTCACCCTAGAATCTCAGCTCATGATAGAGTAAAGCTCAGTTCCACTTCTTGAAGTGATTACATTAAAGATCTGAGCTGTGCTGTATGGATTCAATGAGCAGAGCCATAAAAATGTAAGTGCTTGTAGAATATATGCCTTGCTGCTGGGCTGTTCTCATCCGTGGGTTGCTGCTGCATTAGCAGTCCAGCGGTCCTGGAAGAGAAGGGACCTTCTTAGAGGGAAAGCTTTGGCCCACAGGCTTTAAATTCAGAGACAAGATTTTTAGCTTGCTGAGAATGGGTTTGCTCAACAAACTGGCATCATCTTCCCAAGTCTGGCCCAGGAGTTCCCTTAAATACAGTGTTGGAGCCATGAAATAAACCACCTGTAAAGTCTGCTGAGGAGCTGGATGGAAACCATGGCTTCTGGCTATCATTTGGACCAGCTTAATGTGTTCTGGAAAAAAAATAATTCACACGTCGTATCACACCGGCTGAAAAAATAGCGTACATCAGCAGCGCTGTAATGTAAAGGACTTGCAGCAGGTGTTAACATGCAGAGGCAAGGAGCATTCTGGTAGCACCTGTGTTTGTCTAAATCCAGCCAAAACAATTTCCTCTTCAGTTGTAGAGGAGAATTAAAAAAAAAAAAAAAAAAAAAAAAAAAAAAAAAAGCCTACCTGACTTCCAGCAGTAGCAGACATTTGCTGTGAAGCAATTTGCACAGTATTTTCCATGATGCACTGTGGGTGTGCTTTGTTTTTGCTTTTTCTTTTTTTTTCCTTCCTTTTCCTTGAACTTTTTAGTTTGGGGACACCTTTGGTAACTTCAGTGCTCCCCTGCTGTCTCTTTGTCTCTCACCAGCACTGCCAGGGCCGAGCAGTTGCAGATGGAATGCTCTCTGAGTGCTTTCCTTAATTGAATGAAAAATAAATATTACCAATTTGGATGTGACTTATGGGGCGCATATGATGCTTATTTTTTCAATTACATGAAAACTTGGCATGGTTAAACATAGGAAGCCAAGTGTTCTGTGAAGCTGGTATAGATTTCTGGGTTTTTAGGTGATTTTGCTTTAAATTATTGTATAGCAGAAGGGGATGAAGGAAGTCAGCTGCTAAACTGTATTTTCCCAGCACGTATTTCACTCGGTGGACCCTTGATGCTCATTTTATGACTAGCGTACACCGTACTATATGCATTTCTTGTTGCCACCAGAGATAACATTAAGTAAACTATCCCCTTAAGTAAAACAGCTTTTCTTGGCAAGTGGAGTATGACTCAAGGAGCCAGCACTGGAGACATACGGTGCTGTGAATGAGTGCTGTGTGTTACTCTACTGGATCGGAGTCCAGGCACTATTTATACTACAGCATATTCAGCACCAGATTGTTAAATCTTAATACTGAAACAGTGCATCATTTGAATGTTTTTGTTCTGTTTATGTCCCATTTTCAAGCATTAGATATCAAGCAATACTAGCTAACTTTTTGTTGCATTTGGACAAGATCTCTGGGTGCCAAAAGTCTTCTAATCTGTTCTTGAAGCATTAGCATGCCTGTACCAGCATGTTGCATAGAAACTTTGTACCAATCAAGATTAATCATGTCTCTTCTAGCTTCTCTTAAGACCTGGTGATAGAATACCTTGCAAATCACTGTATCAACGGTAAATGCAAACAATCATATGCTGCAGAAAAGGAGTTATTCTCTAATTGTTTTCTCCTTTATGTCTATGAAAGAGGAAAAAAACTATTCCGTTTGAGGTATTTAAAGGTTTCAGGAGTGTGGAGTCCACTTGTGTCTGTGCAAGAAAAATTTGTATCACTGTTTCAGATGTGCTATTTGTTTTACAGTTGTCTTTTAAAGATGAGGCTAAAAGGCCTTTGTCGTTTATTTTAGTTGGATTAATTCCAGAGCTGGTAAAGAACCAGTAGAAAGTAAGGTGAAGAGTGTTGTTTCTTGGCTTCATAGCATCCTTCAAGAGAATAAATAGGCAGACCTCATCCACTTGGGAGAAATGGGAGAAAAGGTGATGAGCATCTTGTGGGGCTGAGCTGAAAGAAGTTATGTGGGCAGAGCAATGGGGCAATGGTAAACATGGTAAAAGAGAGAAGAAAAGTAATAGTTGTGATGTGTTATACAGTACAGAACAAGGCTGAGCTGCTGTTTTCATGTAAGGTGTCATTGTGGCTTTTTTGTTTATTTGTTTGCCCTCTTCCTGGAAGTAATTCCTGGATATTAGTCATTGTTTCTGGTGTGGGCAGGCCCTCGGCAGTTGTCTACACAGAAATAATACCTCTACACCAAATGGTTTACCATTGAAGTTCATAGTCTTTGTGACGAGCACATCCAGAGAGGTGATGATCCCTATTAGAGAATGAACAGAAGTAGAAACAGGACTTAAAACATCCCCACTGCCCCCATGCTATTTTGGATCTATGGTCAGCAGCTTGCAAGTTTATTTTTTGTTGCTGGTTTTTTTGTTGTTTTTTTTTTTTTTTTTTTTTTTTTGCTTTTGCTAAGTAAAGCAGCTATCTGCACAGTGTGACTGGCAGCTGGGAGTGAATTCCTACTTATGGATTTCCAGCGCTATCCATCTGCACTGGGAGTAACACCATTATTAGATCTTAACTGTGCTGAAAGCTCACATGTAGGTATTTTCCTGTTCAAGTCAAAACCAATGCATTTATTTGCTGAAAGGTTTCGGAGGCTACGAAGTGTGGAGTGTGGAGTATTTGAAATTTCTTCTAACTTAGAAAGGCAGTCTTTAGTGAGACGATGAAAGATGTGAAGTGGGGAAGCATTCTGTGCTTCCTTGAAGCAATTTAAGAGCCAGGAACATGTCAGCAACTCTCCACTAGGAATCTGAAGTTATTCGTTCTGTTTCCCATGGTTTGCTTGAGGATTCAGTACAAAACATTTTTTTTTTTTTTTTTAGAATGACTGCAATAAGCCTCAAGGCACGTATTGAATCTCCTAAACAAACAAACTTATCAAAAGGTTTAGTAAACAGGCAGTAAAATGCAAAGTATGAATATTGTGTTTTCTTTCAGGAATTATCAAGCTTGGGAGGTGGAATCCCCTCCCTCTCAGTTATGTGACCGATGCACCAGATGCAACAGTAGCTGACATGCTACAAGATGTCTATCATGTTGTGACATTGAAAATCCAATTACAAAGGTAGGTGTTTCTAAACATCTGTCCTTTTCTGTTCTCTGAGCTGTTTTGTCAATTACAGCATTACTATAGAGATCAGCACATCCTGTCTTCATTAATTTCTAGTCTTTTGATGACAGGGCGGGAAAAATGAAGAGAAGGGTATGTCATCTGACAGCTATTTGGTGCATATTCTGATTTTTTTGTTGTTGTTTTCTGAAGTAGTAATAGGGTAACAGAGGAAAGGCAGAAACTCACCTAAGAGTTTCACAATCCCTGATTTGATGGGTTCTCAAGGCCTTAATGAGTGTAAAAAATAAACACCCTGCCTTTTTCCAGGGATTGCATTGTGAAACTCAGGTCTTCTACTGCCAGTTGCTGAGACAGGAGAGGAGAGGAGCTTGCTGACATTCCTTTGTTCTCCAGTTGTCTGCCCAATGGAAAAGCAAGAAGATGAGGAAGGGATCTGTTACTGCAGCTCCATGTGGCCTTTGGAAAACATTTTCCTTTTCTGAATGCTAGTTCTGACTAGCAAAGCAAAACTTCCTAATTCTTTTATCCTTACTTGGTCTCATTTTCCCTACTCCTACATTTTTTCCCCATTTTTCTCTATTGCATTCAAAAGAGTTTTTAAACAGCAACTGGTGCCTGTGAAAGGAGTTGCGGCAAGGAGAACATTGCACTCTGTAGACGTGGTGGTAAGCTTACGTTGCACAGTCATTTGTAGCTTTATGGGCAGGATACATCAGAGGAAAGAGGCAAAAATGATACACACACTGGAATAATTTATTCAAAGCTCATTCTGAACAAAGTAAGGGTCCATTGATGGTGTGTACATACCTACCAACTGTTCAGTTTACTTGGAAATTTGGAAGTATTTGGCTCTTCTCTGAAGTTAATCTCCTGAATGCCAGCATTTCCTTCCTGTTATCTCTAATGTTGATTGAGGTTTCCAGTTCCCCTTACAACCTTTCCTTGGTTTTATATAGTTACCTCCTCTATGCTGCATCTCTTCAGCATAGTTGTGAAAGCATCTGGAGTCTATGCTTACTATAAAAGGAGTACAGTAACTCACCTCTCCAGAAGTATGAGCTACCAGGATTTCTTCTAGCCTATTGTTCTGATAGTGTTACCAGTGAGTATCAACCCAAGATCAAGGTCTCGCTTTTTATCTTCAAAGTGCCTGAAGGCCTGGATGCAGTGTAAATAGAAGACGGTCCATGACTTTGAGATAAAGATAGTCATTGACTACTTGAACACCTCAAGCACAGCTGAACTTTCAACCCTTAGGGTAAAGCCTGCCAGTGTAGGTGGAAAGCGGAACCACCTCAGAGTCTGATTGGAAAGTGTGCACTAAATCTCAAGGCGTGAATGGCAATGACAACTCTCCCCAGCTTTCTGATGTGCTTTTTAGGTCTCCCCCCATGCATGTAGACACAGCCCATGAGCTTGTTAAACTAGAGGAGGCACAGTTCACATGAAGACAAAAGCTTTATTACATGTGCAATTCTTGTAAAATGAAAGTGGAATGAACTACATGTGACAGATGTTGGGCATATGGCTTAGTGTTTTTCTGAAAGGCTCTCGGATACTTCAGCGATGAGGACAGTCTAAGAACCTGTGTTCAATGAAATTCATTTTTCAGACGCTGCTCAAAGCTTTGTTTCCACACAGCAAGGACCCTTACTGTTCACTGATTTTGCTAGTGACATTGTGGCATGTATGTTTATTTTTCTATCCCAGCAGGAATATCTTTGTTTTGAGAGCATGCTCTATCCAGTCAACTCTGTGGCTTGGTCTATACAGAGTTTTTTTGCTCTCTCTCAGGTCCCAGAGGAAATGGTTATGCCACATGTACATCATAGTAGAATTAGCTGCTTTTCCTGCCGTGTACTGTCATAATTCTGGTTGACCTATACATCTTGTGGGAGCTGGGTGTGATGGGGAGGGGAGAGAGGAGAGAAACACCTTGATGGACTGGCTTAGTAAGAAAATCTCATTTCTGCTCACTGCTTAAAGGTCTGTGGCTTTGTACACAAAGTGTAAGCATCTGTGAAGGTGATGTTTCTATCTGCTTTCTACTTTCTGTTTTGACAGTTGTTCCAAGTTGGAAGACTTGCCAGCAGAGCAGTGGAACCATGCCACAGTTCGCAATGCCTTAAAGGAACTGCTCAAAGAGATGAATCAGAGCACATTAGCCAAAGAATGCCCTCTTTCACAGGTTAGTATTTTTAGAAGGCTTAGGGAAAGCCAGATTCCCAAGATCCAATATTCAGTAAAGGATTTAAGCTAAGCAATTCCTTAAGTATTTAATCACTTTATTTATTTCTTTAGAAAGGAAAAATTCCAATTAATGTGAAATAGAGTGTTTTTTATACCATGTTTTATTAGTGGGTCATCAGGTAGAAATTATGAATGAATTGCTTGGTTTTTTTTTTAATGCTGCAGTTCAGAGAGTCTTCATGTAGACCTTAATCTGAACGTTTTGCAATAGGAGTGATGATTATTAAATGCAAGATTTGAGTGGCTCCTTTCGACTAGCAGAGGCCTGCCTCCACAACGTAATACATGAGTAGATCTCACTAACCTCCAACTATGATAAAAAGAATATATACTTAACAATTTTGCCCAAATTTCTAGAGAACAGTAATAAAAACCGTATAATTATCTTCTAAGAAGCACAGTAATTCATAGTCTCATTCTCCATGACTGCTTTATAAATGACAGTACTGTCATGTCTAAAATGTAGGTTCCTACAGACATTGTGAGAAATATTTGTATTTCAGATTGTCATAACAAGAGATTCAAAAAATATTTGTGGCTGGGACCTCCTTGTCTCTCAAAAAAAAAAAAAAAAAAACCAACAAAAAAGACACAGAAAAACACTTCAGCACGCAGACAAGCAACTTGCTAGGAACAAAAAATATATTATTGACCTCTAAAAACTTCATTAAAATCTTGTTTGTCTATTGCATCTTTTAAAAAGTCAGAATTCCGTATTTCTTGCTTGCTAAAAAATCAACTGCATTTGCTAGCCCTTATCTGATTATTTTTCTCCTATGGCTCTCTGTCTTGCAGCACACTGTATGCTCATCCTGCAATTCATGATTCAAAGCCTCTGTAAACCAAGAGAATTCTTTCTGTGTGTAACCAGCACAGATTCACCTCACTGTCTCATGATTACAACTCTAGGAAAAGCACAGGGTTACAGAGCAGAATTTGAATCTTTGCAATTGGTAGGAATTGCTTTACAGCAGAAAATGTTCCTCATCTTCCTTAGTTGTGTTGGCACTGCAGAACTGGAAGGAATAAGAAGGCTGCAAGGAAAAGCTGTGTAACTTGTCTTACTTACTAAAGGAGTCGCAGTGACTCTAGGTATGCACAGAGCTTAAGCGTGTTGAATACGGAAGTATTTTTCCTTCACACAGTTTAAGTGTAATTTCTTTAAATAGAATTACCAGTGGAATATGGTCAGCTAATGATGATTGCAGCATATGGTTGTCTCTGCCCAGTCTTCTTCAATATGCAGCATAACTAAACCATGTATCATTTTATATGCAGAATTCATTTGTTGTCTAGGTCTTCTTCCTCCCGCTTTAGTTTCAAAGCCTGCCAGGTGGAAATGCTGCAGTTGGTTTACTCTCTCCATAGCCTCAGACTGGAAAATATTAATAAGACTATTGATGGCAGGACTATAGCAGCAAGAATCCTTGCCCCAGTAGTTATTTAGTGGTCAAAGCTAAATGGAGAAAGAAAATTAAACTTGTTTACTTTTAAGGATCGCTGTTACTGGCCTTGAGTAGTGACTGACCTCTGAACTGGGACTGCAAGAATGCAACATTTATTATTATTATTGCCATAGCGTTTCAATCTCTTTTGTTTTGGCTCACAAAATACAAAAGATACAATGGAAGGTTGTGTAGGAGCTGTCTATTACTATCATCTGAATATGCCTGTAATACAATTCCTTCTCCCAAATCAGTTTTAAAAAAATATCGTGCCAAATGTGAAATGTCATTACAACCCCCTTGTGGTTAATATATTATTGACAGCAGCAAATTGCAGAGTGGTCTCTTAGGAGTCGAACTGCAGAGTAAATGCTGCTGTTTGTAATGTGTTCACAGTGCCTCAAGTATGAAAGTGGAGAGGGGCAATGCAGGGAGCTCTCTCTCTCCCACCCGCGATGGTGCTCCATCTCTGGTTCTTGGTGCATGAGCTCTCTGTGCAGCCCAGATGGAGATTCTGATTGCCACTAATGTAATCATTCACTTTGATTTAAAATTGTTCTGGTTTTTTTTTTTTTTTCTTTCTGCAAGGTGTATTATGTGGCTGCAGCTTAGCTACCCTTAGCATAAGGCTGCTGTTCAAACAAATAAATCCCAGTTATCCAAGCTCAGAGGAAGGAGGGTAGGTAGGGGGGAGTGTGTGCCAGAAGGAAATCCAATTACTTCAGCATTTTCATCTTTGCATAGAGACTTCTGTCTTTCCTGTATATCGTATAACTCATTTCAAAACTGACCACGTGTTTTGTCTTCTTACTGGATGAAGATTTCTTGGCATGTGAACACATCCCATGTTTTTCTCCTTGAACTTACTGCACCAAATTTTCTTTATGGGAATATTTCTCAGGTTTTAGTCCAGTAAACTTTCATTTCACTTGGCTGTCATTGCCACGCACATCCCAAACACAGCGTATGACTACTTCATATTACCTATTTTTTCCTTAAGAATTTTCCCAGGAAGGATACTCATGATTTAGAAATTTGCAATTACTCAATGTTTTCTTTTTTGTTTTGTTTTTGTGTTTTGCTACTCTCTTCTGAATAGATATTCCCTTTCTGCAAACTCATCAAGGTTCCTGACAGAAATAGTCATAGAATCCCTTCTGATTTTATAGTGATGAAGGTATTTTTCTTTGTAGTTTGAAAGTTCTACTGCTCTATTGTCAAGTAGGCGAGCAGAATCTGTCCTGGGATGTTCTGCCAGTTGATACACTATTTAAGTTTCCTATTTAGCTTAAGCCTTGCTTTCTGAAATAAAGGTTAATAGGTTCAGATAATCTGTGATATATAATAGTCCTTCAATTTCTGTAATGTTGGTTATTATAGAGCTAGAGGATTTGCAGAAGAAAAGCAGAAAAGAGAAACTGCTGCACAGGCAAAGCTAAACAGTTGTCCCACCATCCCTAAATGACTGAAAATTTAACTGACGTGGCACTCAAAAAATGGAAGATAGATCCACTTTGTTTAGAATCCTTTGTTAGCAGAGACTGTCACTGTGTCATGCTTTCAAAATACTACTGCCTCTTAAACTGATTCAGAACAGGCAGGGATTTATGGGGAAGGAATTGTTGCTGGCTACTACAATGCTAGGTTTATGTCTCAAAATATTGATTTTAATTAGAAAATTGAATCTCAGTTTTAGAAATTGAAGCTGCCACTTAAAGAGGGTCTTATTTTATAGCCTTCCAACTCTACTGCAGTGCACCATAGTAGCTTTCTAGAGGAAAAGTTAAAGTGCAACGGCAGAAGACCCTGTTTACTGAAAGTGAAATTACGTGCTGAGCACTATACCAGTCTACACCATCCAGTGCTCTCAAGTCTTGATTTTACTTACACTGGTTTTTAAGTCCCCTAAACTCAAGGTTTAAGAACAACTAGAATTGCTGGAGTGAATTTGTTAGAAAACTGGATGAATGTGGCGGAGGGAGGGAGGGGATGTTTTTTATTTTAAAATAACTGTTAAAACTGACTAAGCCTATGTGTAAGCCTTGTAGCTTTACAGAGATAGCTTAGATGCTGTTTTGCACAAGAGCTTACAGGAACCTGTGAGTAACAGCTTGAACTTCTATTCTCTCATCCCTGTGCAGGAAGGCTGTGTAATGTTGCCAGTGCTTTTCTAGGCTTTCACATTAAGTGAGGAAAGAGGGCAGAAGAAAAAACTGTAGCTTCTGAAGAAGGCACTTTGACTCCCATGTGCTAGTGGTGTTAGATTGCATTTCCTTGAGTTTGTGCACAAGCTGAGAGCGAGTAACCCTGGAAGAGTTCAGGGAAGAGAAGCAAAATGTTATTTCTAAAAAGTTGCCTCCTCTGAATGGCTGAAGAAACCTGAAAAACAAAAAAAGGAAAAACTACCAGCAACCAGACTTTTTCCCACTTTATATGCAGAAGCGTCCCAGATAGGAACTATTGTTGTGGGCATCAGGTGCTGCAAAACAGCACTGCTTTTCTCTGCTTCCAGTTGGCTTGCAATGAGAGTCACTAAGAGAGAATTCACAAAGAGCAGAGTGGTGGTGGTTAAACAAGTGGTAGTTCAGTTTTGTTGATATCTGCTGAGGTTTTTGTCTGTTCTGTATTGCAGTATGCGTAGTTCCCTGCACTGTGAACATCACTGTTGATTTCTCTTTTGGGTGATTTTTCAAACAAGGACTAATCACATTTCTATAAATTACATTAATTTAACTTATTTGCCTAAGCATTCTGTAGAGAGTAGCACAAATGTTCTCTCATTCTTGGCTGCATGGTCTTGCTGCATTTGGAAGTAGAACAGAGACAGCTGCAAAGCATTATTTGGTTTCTGCATGCTGGAGTGTCTAATCTTACCTTTAGCCTGACTACCTTTACCTAAGTCATGATTGTTCTCACCTGGATGCAGCAAGCACGTGCTCCCCAGCATGGCACCACCTACTGTTGTGCAACTAATGTATATAATGTAGTAGCACAAGGACAAATGGAAGTAGAATTACTCCTGCTTTTAGTCTATGCTATGTTTCAGGCTGGGTTTGTCCTGCATTATTTTTGCTTTGTTATTGAACCAGGGTAATTAGGTTTGGGGTTATATAGTGGAGAATAAAACCAATTTTGTGTTCTCACCAAATACTGCTTTTTGGTTTTAAAGGCAAAAATGGATGATCACTGTGTGTTTTCATGTCATTCACTTTCCGTGGAAAAATTTCAAATTATGCAAGATATTTTAAGGACTTTTCTGTCTTTTTTTCTGTACTTCCAGAGTATGATTTCATCCATTGTAAATAGCACATACTATGCCAATGTGTCAGCAACCAAGTGCCAGGAGTTTGGGAGATGGTATAAGAAGTACAAGAAGATTAAAGGTAAATTGATTTTTTTTTTTTTTTTTTCTAACTTGTTGAACTTGTGATGATGGTTTGCAATTATTTACTTTAAGTAAAAGTGATGGTAAGCTTTAATAATATTAGTGAGTTCATCTACAAAGAGGGAACAGTTACAGCACATTTGAAATTAGATCTGATATTTTACAAACAAGGCTGGCATGAAAACAAGTCACTCAATTCTTATAATATACCATTTAGTTGTGCTGAAAGATCCACTGTGTTTTGAATTATGCTAAAATGTTTTGTGAAAAAAGTGTTCTAGTAGCTCAGAATTTAAAACTGTAATTACTTTGTAAATCACCTTAGTTGCATTATAACCATGAAATCTAAAGAGCTTGTCTAAGTAGCAGGTGCCTTTGCTCTTAGTTTAAGGTCCTGTCAAATATACTGACAGTTCCTGCCATGTTTTCTCATGTGGAATCTGGATACCAGTGGAGCATTTTGTACCTGGCTGTTTGGAGGAGTTGCTAAATAACATTTTTCTTCTATATTTTTGTCTCTGTTATACTACTGAAGGGAAGATTTGTTGTCTGAAGGAAGGCATAGGCTTTTTTTGTTGTTTCTGTCTGTGATCCTTTCAGTGGCCAGGAAAGTCGTAACAGGATTCACAGATGCTATGTAGAACTACAGTAATGTCCTGTCCTAATTGAGAAGCCGTTGTATTTTGAGTCACACAGATTAACGTCTTTCAAAAAATCTGCAGTCTTTTTTCTTAAAAACACACAAAAAAATAGCAGCATACATGAGCTGGGAAACACTTCTTGTTTAGTTTCCATAGGGCAGACTAGGAATCTGCATGATAGCATCAAGAATCCGCTTTTCGAATTAGGAACACAGGAAGCAAAACTGCATGGAATATCAGAACAGGGCATGTGGGTTTTCTCTGTGTGTCTGGTTCACGCTGCACGTACCTGCAGGACTCTCAGCTGTGTGGTGATTAGTTTTTCACTTGGCAGAAATAAAAAGGAATGCTTTATGGAAAAATTATCTGTGGATGGAAGGAAGGTTGTTCAGGCAGATGTGGGTAACAGTGTGGATGTGGAAATGCAGGTGTTGCTTTTCACCTGTTAAAATGAGTTAGGATTGAAGTAAAAATGTTGATGCCAAATAAATTGAGTAGTTGTTTTCTCTCTAAATTGCCATTGTGTTAGGCAGAAGTGTCTTTTTTTTCTAAATGGTATCTCTTAATAAAAGAATTTCATTTGAAGTGCTGTAACATATCCTCCTGGTTAAAAACAATCAAAGGACTCAAATAGCTTCAAGGTCATCACTGTTTGCTTTTACTTGCCATTGTTGGAGAGCAGAGCTAGGCTCCCCCCCCTCCCCCCCCAAACTGGGCAAGGGTGTGATGCCAGTTACAGAGGCACTGGAAGCCCTTAACTGTAGTGTTCTTAGCAGTAGAGATGCCACTACAGCTTCTGAGTGTTTCTAGCACACTGCTGTCTTCTATTTTCTTCCATTCTTAGAGCATTGAATTCTTTAAGCTCCTTTTTTTTAAAAAAAACTTAATAAGTGCACAGTTAAATTGTTAAGTGCCATAAAAACAGACTGAGACCTCAATCAAAAGGTCAAGGATCCAAACCTGAAGAATTTGCCAGATAACTCTGCATACGTGCTATTCAAAGAGATGCAGCCAGTTGCTGCTGTTTGGAAGCGTATGTGTGTGCGAGTAGGAGGAGGAAAAGGAAGGTTAAGGTATGTGTGAAGTAAACACAAGCTGCTGTAAAGCAGTTCAAGTCGTGTTGATTCATCAGCCATATGAGTGGGAGAGAAAACAAAGAATCTATGGCAGGTACTTTAGGGCACAAAGAAAACGCAGCCATGGAACTTCAGGGCAGTAATCTAGGCCCCCTGGAAACAGGAAGGGCACTTGTTTGGGCAGTTTCAATTTCTCATTTCTGTTTTAGAGACGTCTTGTTTCTTTTGCATAGACAGATATTTTTACAGGACGCCTCAATTAGTACTCAAACTCAGTGACTTACATGCTTCATTCATCACGTGTTCCTTAAAGGAAAGGTAGATGCATGACACAACATTTCACTTTTGGGGTTGTAATCTTGATAGCTTAGGTAAAATTCATTTGGAGTCACTGAGGCACGAACCCTATCCATATGTAAGTCTAGAGCTGGTAATTAGAAAGTAAAAACAAAAAACAATTCACATGAGCTGTGGTAAATGCAAAATATGAAGGAGCTTCAGAATAACTTTATTGATGTTGCAAACTAAATGCAGCCTACAGTGTTAAATGTGTTTCCTATTATCTGCTAATGTCTGTTTTAATAAAACAGTGGGAACTAAATGGTTGCTTCTTAATCAAAACCATGATTTCCTAAACATAAGCTTTATGATTCTGTTACAAATTGCCACATATAGATCTCTTAGGTCAAACTTTTTTCCTTGTTCATAGAAATAAATAAGCAGTAAAACAATTATATACTCTGGAAGATCAAAGTAATTACAACTGAGGCCATGCAAAAGTAAAAAATTCTTTGGAGGAAAAAAAAGCATCAAGTTTCAGAGCATGTAGTTCATGTTTAAATAAATATAAGAAAGTGAACAATCAATGATTTGATATCATTAACAGCAGATGTAAGAGCTATGAGATATGAGTGGAATTGTACGTAATCTCAAGTCAACGGTCTCAGTGTGCATTCTGTGGAACTCACCAAAAAGACAACTAACCTATTTTGCTTGCAATTCAAAAACAGTTTTCAGCTCAGCATGGTAATTTTGTCTTGTGTCAAGACCATGCTAGTGTAAAACTCTGCTTGATTTTTTTTTTTTTTTCCCAGCCACCCTGCCCCCATGAGGTTTTAAGATGTTCACAGTTTACTCAGAGGTACGAGAGTTAGTGCACAGATTCTGGAGTCGCTGGTGTGAGGGTGGAGGCTTTTTTTTTTTAACCTTGTTCTGAGCCTTCCACTGCATGTATGTTCAGAGACATGAGGGGCATGAGCGAGTTTCTAACAGGATATCTGCTCTTTGCAGTCTCACTGGAATACACGTGTATTTCAAAGATAGCTTATATTAACTCAGTTCCAATAGAAAATGCACAGTACTTGGAAAATAAGAATCCTACAGTTCTGTGAACTTTTTCTTCCCTCTGTGGACCTGTGTAATCATTTAGAGTGGCAGTTAAGTTATTTAGTTTGTATTATCCTTTTGTTCAAAATACACACTGTGAATGACTGTAATATTATTGTGCTCTTTTAAGTTCTGTTTTGTGGCTATAAAATATTTTGAAAAATGTGCACCCTTTTGGTTCTCAGTTGCATACATGACAAGATTTAGGTATAATTAAACTGCTTGAATCAAGAATTGCTCTTTCCTGTTTTTAGTAAAGGCTACATACTAGTGACTGTGGTGCTAACTGTACAACATGTAGAGACAAGTTTCCAAACTTCACCATGCAAATAATGTCACTGTCAAGGGATAAAATGTGCACCAGTTACCTACTCGTTGCCTGGTCTTTTGGGTTCATAGCATTTCAAATACTTCTTTAGTTCTGTTTTTCAATAGATGTTTCACTTCTCAAGTGTCATGCTTTCTATTTTTATCAGAAGGACTATCGCTGTATCAGGATCCTTTCACAACTGAAACTCTTCAGTGGTGTGAATCTTTTCTTTTTTTGCCTGATGACACAGCTTGGTTTGGTGGGAGGAAGTTAGGAAGGCAGAGGGAGAAATAAAAATATTGTGAACTTAAAAATAAAGAGATGTATTTTCTTTGTCTGTGTATTAGGAACATATTTTTTTTTTTTGCTCCTGCCATCAGTGGCTGTCAAAATATAGCTTTCCGTGGATGTGAGTTTTGAGACTGTGGCTGTCTCAAAGTTTTTGTGGAATGATGAGTACTTCTGTTTAAAGGAGGCGGTTCCAGTTATTTCTATTTCAATGGATCTGGAACCAGCTCCCATAAGAAAGAGTTTTTATAGCTTCCTTAAATTGAGAATCTGCTTTGGCTGCTTTTTGTTTTTTCCAGTATTAATGATGCGATGTTGTCTGCTGTTCTGTTCTGGAGAGTATGCACTCATACTTGCTTAATTCCCATAAGGGATTGACAGGCCAATCTGATCTTTTGATTCAGTGTTCTAGAGGTCATTCTAGGTTAAGAGAGGTTAGAACAGGATTCTGAGGGGTTCCCAGCTTTGTTAATACCAAACTAAAGGAGCCTTGAATTGCAGCACGGTCATAACGCCAGTGTGACTTGGTGAAAATTTTAATTATGTGCTTTGTTGAATAGTTTTGAATTGTTCCTCTGAAGCAGATGTTGCGGAAGCCTCATGAAAAGGCATAACAGAACATTCTCAATCAGTGTTTCTGACTTTTAACAACACCCCATTATCGATACATGAGCGTATATGCATAAATAGAAAGTCACAGATACATCTGTATAAACAGACGTATGTGTGTAAGCATACGTACATAGAGATCTTGACCTTTAGCCTTTTTAACTAGATAGTTGAAGCACAAATGGTAAGGCTTTTTAAGTAGAGATAATTTCATGTGTTGTTTAGACACTGAGCCAGATAAGGTCATTTAGGTTATCTGGGTGGCTCTTGACCTTACCGTAATTTTTTTTCTTTCTTTTCACGCTCCTGACTATGTTTTATTCCACTAAAAATAAAACTCACTTTTTAAAAGAGAAAGGTAAGAAAAAAGCATCATTCAGGGGCAAGCATTTCAGCATCTAGATCATACAAGACCTGAAGATCATCTCTAACTTGAACACATCCTCACAGTATGTAGACTGCTGTGTTGTACTGTTTTATGAGGAGAGTTGTTCGTCTATTTGCACTGGATCACAAGGAAAAAGTGGAATCTCTTTAAGTATAAGCTGAAGCTGGTACATTTCAGCAAGATTTAGAGACCCCTTGGCTACTGTTTTCCCCACCCATACTAGAATATTGTATTTCAGCATTGTCGCTGATGTTAAGTGCCAGTCTGGGGGATTTGTGTGCTTGTATTGTTAAGAGACAA